AAAAGTTCCCTGACTGATCGGAGGTGAAGCAGTGACTACCCAGGGTTTGGTTAAGATGCCATCACCAGGTAACGCTGATCATGTTCCAGGTGACGTGTCATGTGGAAATCCTAAGCACAGAAGGGACGTGCTGATCCGGTTGGACCACACACTTGACAAAATAAGAGTAGTAGAAACACTAACCTTATTTTCCTCCTGTTCTTGTCTTTATTTGCCAAAACTTAAGCTAAMAGTKCCGGTAAAATTGTTTGGTTGTAACATCAGAACTGACGTTTTACTGTTCTATATAAGTAATCTGAGTTTGATGTGAATTAAAATTCGGACGCGAGTTTTATCTCATTTAACTTTGAAGCTTGTTAAAGGAAAACCACAATCAGGTGTACTTATGATCTGTTCAATTTGTGTAAATAAATGATTGCATAGTCTTTATGAATCAACTTGAACTCGTCTGAACGTCCACTTATTGTGTCACTTTTCACTTCGCACAGTCAAGATATTAAAAGTAATGAGAAAATACCTTGGTAAAACCTTCCTCATACTTTATGTATGAGAGATGTAGGAACAGCTTAATTCACCTTAAGCCTACCCCCTACATAATAAATAGTGATTATGTGGAATCTGTTGTGTTTTTGTTGGATCATTTTCGAACCTGTTTAAGATAAAATTACTGATATGAAAAAGTGTAGAACTGAAAGAAAGCAGACTTGATTTAATCTACAATCATCATAATAAATTGAGCATCTGGCAACTGAGACCAAAACAATGAATTATATAGAATGATTAGACAGAGATAAACAAAAGCAACAAAAGGACAGAAACAACAAGGCTTAACCAGGATGGTAAAGAAGGAAAATGTTTTTTCAGTAACAGATTACTCCACAGCAGAGCTTCCTGTCTGTCATTTCACTGCCTTGCTCAACAGATGGAGAATCTGTCAGTGATGCCCCCTGTTGAGGGAGAGAAGCTACTGCAGGGGGCGGGGCTCGTGGTGTGAATTCAGAGCAGCTGCCAAGTGTCAGCTCTAACAGCCTGATGGGTTTAGGATCACAAAAGGATATCAGGGCTGCAGCAAATGAATAGAGCATCAAGAGTACTTCAGGGAGATTAATGGGAGCACTGGGAGCAGTTATGCCGCAGCACAGGGAGTAACAGGGAGGAAATAAAACTAACTAGAAATGACACAGAGGTGTAGTTAGTGGAGAAAGGCTCACCTCCAGAGGGCTGGCGTGGTTTACGTGGGGAGCGAGGTTGCCTGAGGCATGGGTCAGACGGGCTGTACAGCTCTGAAATGGCCATGTTGAGCAGCAGGGCTTTCTGCAGGTAGTCCACCACAGCCAGTCCGTTACTGTTTCCAAACACCACACTGAGAGACAGAAGGCAAAGTTCCACATTCAGGAACCTTCAGTTTACCTTTTCAGCTGAAGACAGAATGTGATTAAAGCTTCTGATGCACTCAGTTTTGGCACAGAACAGGCTCTAAGCAGAGCAAACAGAGGAGTAAGGTCACATTAAAATCTGGAGGCTGTACAGACTTACAGGCTGTAAGAGGAGTTGACTGCAAGGCTGGTGATCTGCTGAGGTGGCTCCCCACTCACCCACACCAGCTGGATCACCAGCTCCACCTGGTAGCCCTGAGACTGCTTCAGCGGGGAGCTCCGCACCCTGCACCAAACACACAGCAGGATGAGACTTATCACCCTGTGGGTACAGCCACACTGACGTCACTTTCATTAACCTTAGGCCACTTCTACCCATTACTGTCGAAACAGCTTCAGAACATCTAGGACTCTGATTGTAACTGACTTTTGTTTTCACTAAGGGTGTTGTTGTGAATACTCTGGGGTGAGAAAAGAGATGACAGCAGCTGTGTTTCCATTGACCATGAAAATGCGCAAATTAGAATTTCGAAAATAAATTTGCTCAATGGAAACACGTCAATTTCGAAAAAAATTACATTTTTCGACAAAATGTTTTTGCGCTAGGATGAGGTGGTATTTCGGCTGCATCGAAATTGGTGTTTTTCTCAAAACTGCAATGGAAACACTTTTTTCGTATCACAGGAGTCACGTGATCAACAATCGGCTGTTTCTATTGGCGAAAAAAATAACGACGAAAACGATAACAGGAAGTAGAAATAGTAGTAATATCACAGAAGTAGTATAAAGTAGTAAACTCACTGACTATAATTTCCCAAAAACACAGCATACGTAGCCGCTCCCAAGTAGGGACTTGTCTCTGGAAAGCCTCGATAAAAGACGCCGACGTCTCCTCTGATGATGAGCGCTAGTGTCGTGGTAGCAACATGCTATGTGTTTACATCCATCGCGGTATATTTAGCTCATTGTTGTGGTAAATATGTGTATGTAAAATATGTTTAAAAGGTGGTAATAGCATTTCTTACTTAATGGAAACACTGCAGTTGCGAAACTGTTTTTTCGACATTAACAGAATATTGACAAAGTTTTGCGCACATTTGCAATGGAAACACAGCTAGAAAGGCACAACTGAAGCACTTCTTATGGACTACAAATCCAACTTTACTTACTGGCTGCGCTCTCTGGCAAAATAAAGCTAAAACAATATCAGTAACGTTTGACTTCCCACTCCAGGATGACAGTGAATGCAGCATGAAGTTAAAAGCTGGAAATCAAGAAAGAAAGTCGAATTTCTTCTATTATCATATAAAACCTTTGTAATTATTCTCATTTAAATCATAATCTAAGCTCGCTTTTTTGTTGGTTTCTCAAAACCTACAGTTGCAATCACACAAGGCGGGGCCATTCAGCTGGCTAACAATGGTACCGATGGAGTCCAGGGCCTCCAGACTCTGACCATGACCAACGCTGCAGCAGCTGCCGCCCAGCCTGGAGCCACCATCCTGCAGTACGCACAGA